CCCAAACCATTCCGTGATTCTAAATGCCCCCTCGCCAGGTGGGTTTCATCCCCAGCCCCGCGGGTTTGTTCCCATCCGCTCCTCTCCCCTCTGTCAGGCGGCCACCGGCCTGTCGGCCCCAAACACCTGTCAGCCCCAGACTCACTGAGATACCTTCTGCGTGCGGGAAGAAATGGCGCCAGTGATTAACAGGCATCTCGTGCGCTTCGGGTTTGTCTTGCAGGCGTGGTGCAGTCCGTTAAGGAGACCCTGAGCAGCCAGTTTGTGGAGGACTGCAAGGGTGTCATTCAGCGGCTGACGCTGCAGGAGCATAAGATGGTCTGGAACCGAACGACCCACCTCTGGTAGGTGCGCACCCGCAGACGTCCAGCTTTCAGCCCGGCTGAGGTGCCCTCGGAGGGCCCGACACGCTGAAATGATCTCAGACGTGATCAAGGTGCCCTGGACCCCACAGCGGCCCTGTTACGGCTGCTGAAACGGAGCAGGTCTGGCTGTTTTCAGGACTGTAGCCTTTCAGAGTTCACACAGGGGATGTAGGAGAGGAGCACGTAGAGTAACCCAGCGCGGGCAGAGCGCTTCGCTGAGGCCTCACCTTGTTGCAGAGGTGCAAAACAGAAATTCAGTTGGATTTGGGTGAGGCCCGGGCCCAGGGGACCTGGTCCTGACAGCACCCGGCCCAGAGACGCTGCAGCAGCCAAGAGCGTGGTGATGCTCTTGGAGCTGATCGGATAACACCTATCAAATCTGTGTGTGACAGGCAGCGCTTCTCCTGGCAGAGTGCTTCCTGGCAGTCGGGAACGCCAGGGGGAGATGAGGGGGAATGAAGTGAGCCGGGGTGCGCTCCTGGGGACGGTGGGAGCGTTGAGGTGAGGGTGGGCAGCGCCCCGAGGGGAGAAGCGCTGCTCTCCAGCCAGTCCTCTCCAAGTAACCTTTGCGGGGGCCAAGTGACGGCTGGCAGTCTCCAAAAACAGCTGGTCAGACCCCCAGAGTTTCCTTGCTGGCCGTGGGGGAGGTGTTAACGCTCGCATTTCCTTTATCCCCCTCTCCTTCCCCAGGAATGACTATGAGAAGATCATCCACCAGAGAACCAACACCACCCCCTTCGACCTGGTCCCTCGGGAGGAAGGCGCCAGCGTCGCCGTCAGGGTGATGAAGCCGCTGGATGCCCAGCCTGGAGACGGTGTACGAGAAATTTCATCCCTCCATCCAGTCCTTCACCGACGTCATCGGTCACTACATCAGCGGAGAGCGCCCCAAGGGCATTCAGGAGACGGAGCAGATGCTGAAGGTGGGCATGGCGCTGACGGGGGTGGGAGAGCTGGTCCTGGACAACGCCACGATCAAGCTGCAGCCCCCCAAGCAGGGCTTGCCCTACTACCTGAGCACTCTGGATTTTGACTCCTTGCTCCAGAAACAAGAATCCAACATCCGGTTCTGGAAAATCGTGAGCGTCGTTTTTGGTTTTGCCACCTGTGCCATCCTCTTCTTCCTCCTACGGAAGCAATACCGGCATCACCGAGAGAGGCAGCACCTCAAGCGAATGCAGGATGAATTCCAGCAGGCCCAGGAACGCCTGGCGCGCCAAACGAACGCGGAGGGCAGAGAGGTGCTCAAAAACGCTTGTGTCATCTGCTTGAGCAACACCAAATCCTGCGTCTTTCTGGAGTGTGGGCACGTTTGCTCCTGCAACACCTGCTACCAGGCTCTCCCCGAGCCCAAAAGGTGCCCGATCTGCCGGCAGGCCATCGCCAGGGTCGTTCCCTTGTACAACAGCTAAGTGCTCGTGGCCGGGAGGGGAAGCGTTCGGCACGGAAACCCGCCTCTCGCCAAGGGGGTTTTCTCACCTCGCTGCTTGGGTGGTTGATTTTGGGGGGCAGGGGAGGGAGCTTGAGCCAGCGGGGCGCTTCGATTGGGTCTTAAAAGGCAGCAGGTCCGGCTGATGGGGGTTCACAGCGTGTTCCGGAGGTTTTTGGAGTGGGGAGAGGAGGAATCCTCGCAAAGGATGCTGGGAGATGCGCTTTCCAGCTCTTCTGTTACGAGTCGGGCTCCAGGGCTTTGCCTGCAGTCCCTCATCCGGCGTATAAAAACGCTGGGGGACATGCACCAAAAAAAGATGTATTTTGGCTTCTGGCAACGCTCTCGCCTGCCTCCGGGGACGGACGGAGCAGGGCGGGATGTGGGAGAGCCTGGTGTGCACGCGAAGGATCGCCGTCCTCCGCCAAATCCGTTTGTGACCCTGTTGCGCCAGAGAGGTGACAGCGCTGTGGCTGATCTCTGTGCTTGGCTTGAGCTGGGCGAGAAAACGGGGTGGAAAGCAATAAAATGGAAGGGAAAAACGTGTTGTCCCGGGATTGTTAACGTGAGGCGGGGCGGAGGATGGGATCCACTGCCTGGGGTGTACGCGCTGCGCCGATAAATGCCGGAGGAGCGGAGATGGCTGTCTCCAGCGGTGATGGAGGCCGGAGTGCCGTCCCGGGGATCGCTGATGGAGGTTGGGATCCCGTCCCTCCAACCTCATCCCAGCGGACACCGCTGTCCCCTTGTCGGTAACGCCAGCGGTACCAAAACCCCAAACTTTCCCACAGGAAAGGAACAATCCCCGACTCCCCCGTTTTGGTAAGTGCACCTGAGGGGGTGTGACGAGCCCAAATCGACGCTTCAATTAACATTTGCTGTTTGCTGAGCCCCTGTTTTGCGGGAGCCTGGAGTAGGAACACTGGAAAACCCCAGGAGAGAAGCAGCCCCCGGGGATTTGGGGGAAGACCCCCCACCTGCAGGCCGGCTGAGCTGCTTGCGGCCCCCCGAGTGACCCCCAGAAGGAATGATTTTCTGTCGACTGACAGGAAAAAACTGAATTTATCGAGGAAACGGGTTGTTTCCTCGTTAAACATTAATTGGGCTGGCCGGGCGGCGTCAGACAGCCGCTTGGGTTGTGGGGCACAAACCTACCGGCTTAATTTCCCTGCTGGCTGAAGGAACAGGGCCTGGGGCAGCCCCAGCGCCGGGAAAAGCCAGGATCCCAGTGGGCAAAGCCTGGAGGCAGCTCGCTGGCGGAGCTGTCCCTCTCTCCCCACCGTTATCGCCCTGCCTGGCCCTTCTGCTGCTGCCGGAGGATCCGACCTCCGCGTATCCGCGGCCCAAAGCGCATCGTGGAACAAAACCGTCAAACCCAAGAAGCCCCCATGACTTTCCCTGAGGGATCGGCACAGCCGAGCCGCATGCCAAACGCCACCACCTTCCCGGGATTTAAGATCCGGGAGCGGCCGAGACCCCGACTCCTTCCCTTAAAAGCAATTTTCTGCTGTAAAAACCCTACGCGGAGGCTTTTTAGAGTTATTTTTGACTGTTAACGGCCTGTCTCCCCCTGCACCCTACCAAGGCTTTGCCTTTCCCTCCCCGGCTGCGCTTTCCCCGGGACTGAGCACCCCAAAAAGCCTCATCCCCTAGACGGGGACAGCGGGGAGGTCACCTCCGGGATGCAGCCTCGACCCCGGCGTTCTCCCCAGGGAATGGAGCTGTCACGCGAAGCCTAAAAATACTCTGTTTTGGGGGGGCTGTGCTTTCCCTGTTACCTTTTGCCTCCTGTTTTCCAGCTTTTTCCCCCTCCCCGGCATCTGGGGCGTAGACACAACCTTATGTAAGGTGCTGACAGCTCGGGGGTGTGCGGGGGTGTGCGGGAGGGGGGCTCGCGTGGCTCCCGGAGCCGAGGATTTTGGCAAACGAGGGGGTTTGGAGATGGGAGAAATGTGCCGGCGGAGATGTTGTAACCCAGCCGGGCGTTTTGCTGCTGTCCCTGCTGTCCCCCCCCAATCCCGCGTTGCAGGGGATGCATCAGGGATGCCTGACACGCCCCCAGAGAGCTGCGGTTCTCCCCAAA